AAAAGATCTGTTATAATAAAACTTGAAAAATTTGTCTATCTGGCTTTAAAGAAGAGAAACGAGAGTGTTGTTGTGTAATAAAATATGTATTTCTTTAAACTATTTTTCATATTTATGCTGTATATTATTAGATATGTTAAATATGACATGTCTTGTATTGTATGTGTTTACGTGTACTTAAAACTGCCCATCTTTCGTTAAAACATGAACATGAAACATGAATTATATATTTTCATACTTTTCAATATTTTATTACTTTTGTTAATATAACCGCCAATTATGTGTGGCGAAAAACATGTATACATGTATATGTTTATGCTAATAAATACTTTGACTTTGACTTTGAATGTATAGGGTTTGTTTTCTCCCCCTGTTTGCTTTATAACGGGTTTAGGATATTTTGACCATTCAGCATTGACACAAACAATGTATACAATACACTCTGTAACCTAATTAATTTGTCAGTTTATATATTTCAACGACTCCTTATTATAATTGGATATTCTATTTTCATGTCGACAGCGACTCTGACGAATGTGATCAATGTTACACCGGGTAAACATTTCATTTTATTATTATTTTTTTTAAATAACATCAAATTTTAAATCATTCAAACATAATACTCATACTTTACTTTTACATGGTCTATTGTCTGAGCTGTTTGAGAATCTTCTTACTTCCGCTCCCAATAGGACTCAAATGAAGATTTTTTTTTACGAACTTTATTTGCATAATTATTATTTATTAAAATCATTTATACAACGGTTAAATGAAAGCTCTGTGACTAAGTATAATCGTCGTTATATTTTCAATAATATCACCGTAAATATTAATGTAACAATTTGAGAAATCTGCTTTTATAACATATCAACTTATTCTTTATGTGATGTTTTCGAACGTTGGTATTGACAGACATAAACTAGTCAATATTTATCACACACCCGTGACGATTTTGCGACTACGTAAATATGGTATTGCACGGCCGTTTTTATTTGATTAACATAACATTACATATTTTTTCTAGAGAAAATCAATTATATTGTTATGCAAGAGTAAAGTTAAACTATATATATGTATTATATAAATACATTTTTCCTAAGCATTTTGATCGCTTAATCTTTAAATAGACTCATTTCTTGTTTAGGATATCACATAGTGTCATATACCATAGGTCGTTTTCTACCTGTTTTTCTTGCATGTCAGACTATAAGAATCTGCCCGGTACAGACCAGAATATCTAGCTCGAGGGTAACTGTTGACAGCGGTAACGAGGCTCTGCCGAGTTTCCGCTAAACAGTTACCCGAGAGATAGATATTCACGTCTGTACCAACAGCCGGTGTTTGATTCTTTTTCTTGCATATTGCATGTCAATCATTTTCGGAACAGAAATTATAAAAACTGATATTCTCATTACGCACTTTTTTCTTGTAATAGCGTATGAACATACAACTTCATTCATAACGGAAAAATGACGTCATCCTAAGAACGCGATTCATTCATAAAAGGCGCGCGTCAATGACGTCATTTAAAGCACTCGACTTGTCTTACATGGGGGGTGTAAGACAGAGTTTTCCAGCACCGGTGTAAACGGTAGATAATCCTGTCTGAGATGCAAGAAAGGATTATCTACCGTTTTCACTTGTGCTAGAAAACTCCAATAACATCATTTATTTTAACAGTGAAGGTAACTAGTACTAGTTAACTGCTTGACAGCCAGCCCAGAATCGATGCGATGGATGAACTATGGCTCCCTGTCGTGATTCCGAGGATAAACTACACCACCAATACATGTAAATTTATAGTTGAGTGCAAAATATCGTCAACATGCAAACATGAAACTTGTACTTTTGGTTCTTAAATATATGTAATTTTTGTTTTTTGCTTATTGTTTTCCGCAGAAACAGTAGAAACATATTTCTACAGAAATAAGTGCTTATAAGACGGTATTTTACATAAGTAGACTCAATGACAGTATGCTGAAATAAAACTAAATTTAAGCATTTAAGCTCAATTTGTTTACAAGGTTATATTAGGTCGAAACAACTTATTCGATCATGTTTGAAATTGGCGGAAAGAGCCGAAATGCTTTGATTGCCGAAAATTTATTTGTCGTAAAATTTCGATGAAACCTTTGAAGAGATGCATTTACTTATTTTACTTTTAAAACTTCCATGACTTTGACAAAGTCATGAACTTGTTTATTTGTAAACGCTTTAAAAAAATCAAAATGTTTCTTTTGCTAAATTCTGATTTTCATTAATATGCGGTTGGTGAATTAGCCTCAGTTTTATGTTTATCCAGGCCTCTTATTATAAGTTAATCAGGTAATGCATGCTCAGTCTAACTTTTGCATTAAGTTTGAATGAATAATAACAGGAAAAAAAGAGATGACAAAACATATTCAAGATCAGATGACGTAAGTGACTTAACATAAATGCATGTCTACTTGTGCTGTCAATTTTTAAAGCAAGTTAACAATATTATTTTGATTATACTACAATAAGTATACAATAGTACCAAAATGATTATTTTGATAAAACTGTTCTATTGACAGTAAATGTACATATCAAGTTTCAATGTACATTTTTAATGTATCTTTTCTAAATGATTTATGTGTTATTTTAACCACCATAATCAGAAAAAGACAACTGAGGTACATCAATGCAAGAATAAATAGAACTATGTTGAACAAAATAAGGACATCAATACGCCTCAAGCTGTAAGTTCTTTAAAGGACAGGCGTTCAAACTGGTTAAAAGTGTAATATGGGTCGAACTTGTACAGGAAAATTATGTGCACTTGATTTTTTTATAAAGATATCAAACACTGCGGTTACTAACTACTTTATCATCTGCATGAATTTGACCTGAATACGAATACTTGTTTCTATGATAAACACATATCTATTATGTGATGTGGTATTGTTTACAAATGACGGATATATTATAATTTTAAGCGTTCTTAGAAAGCAGTTTAAGGATTGTAATACAATATACACATATAAAACATTATAATAAAAACAAGATCACGTCTTGAAAGGATGACAAGTAAATAGTATAGCGACGGTTAATGATAAACTTTCTTTGAAACCGAAAGCGGAAGTTATTTATACACGTATGTGTGGACTTTTTCAATAGTGTAATTATAGAAACATAACTTTTCAGTGACGCGTTTATCTTTTTCAATAAATATCGATGAGTCAGTGACACCAGGTTATTACGTAGTGAACAAGATTGAAGATGTTGTCAGTTTATACAGGATATAAAGTAAAATAAGGTATTCAGATATTTTTTAATAAAGTTTTTTTTTTCATAAGCCTTATCATTTTTATCGTCCTTATTTTAATAATTATCAACATAAATAACACCATCATTTTATGATTTATATCTCTTGTTTATCTTGAATTAACTTTAATATATTATCGTCATTATAAATCATTGTAGAATTGTAGTTTCAAATCTGTTTATTGATGTCCACTTCACTTTCGTTTCTAATAGTCTAATAAGCCACCGGTTATATATTCATAATGTGTCTAAAGGAAGTTAATTAGAACTTTAACATATGTAAAAAGGGGAACAATAGAAGGGTGGAATTCAATGAACGCACCCTGAGACCACCTGAAAGGAGCCCAGCAGGGCACAAAACAGGACAGGACAAGAAGGGAAGTCATTATATGAATTATTCAAAACAGTAAATCATAGAAACCTTCGGGGATTAAAAATTCTATAAAGATCTTCTTCCTCGTTACACTTGTAAGAACTATTATCATCATAATTACTATCTAAACACTAGGTTCATCTTCCCTGTGATTATCACCATTCATTGTTTATATAACAAACTTCAGTTCTAGCAATGAACAAAGTTATTTCTTCTTATTATGTTATTCAATGCATTTGTAGAACGCATGCTTAGAATTGACAGACAAACAGATGTCAACCAGAGTCTTACGAGCAGGGAAAAGTAACATGTATAACAAAATCTGCCAAAAATCCCAATATTAAATTTCATATATTGTTTTAAATTAGCAGTCAATTTAATAGAACCACTGGTTGAGATGCTTAAAGTAAAACTTCCTTTTGAAGAGTATCTATAATCAATAAGGAAACTGAGTTTACATGGGGAATTGGTTCAAAACCCAAGGGGGGGGGGGCAACATTTTTTTTATTGCGCTTCTTTTTTGTTTTTCGTTTTTGTCTCATCAAAACTTATACATATACCTTGTTAAATTAACCATTTTTTCACATAAGCTTTACTTTGATTTTGTTTGTTTTTATAACTATAGTTCTTTCTTACCTCTTCTAAACTTAGATAAAGATAAAATGAGTAAACATATTTCTTTTACTGATAAGAATCGTATATGTTGTTGTTCAATATGGCTTGTACAAAAGTTAACTTAAATCGTCAATCCTTTAGAAACAAGATGGTAATATTTTTTTTTGTATGTTCTGAAATATCAGGGTGTGTGATACCTGACATTTGTAACACCACTATAAGTTTTTGCTAATTTGTTGTTGTATCTTTCAATATTTGAACATACACCATGTTCCAGGCAAATACATTTCGATTCCAATAGTGCATATTGCCAATGTAGCCCTCGTAAAGTTTTCTCCTAAGCTTGCAGAAATTGTGGCACATATCTTTATCAAGATACATAGACATTGTCTACAAGTATACCGGTACAATTAACTTAACAAAGATCTACAGTGGAAAGTTTTATACCGTTGGTGCCGGCTTATAATTACATGGAACATGGTTTATGCTTATTATTCAAGTACTGAAACATATAATGAAAAGAATAGTGATAACTATTAGCGGTATCCCATTGCTACCGTTAACAAATTTCATGTGATCACTGTAAAAGTTTATTGTATCATATTTTTGTATTTAATAACAAATATTGATATATAGTATGTTCATTATATAGTTTTAATATGATATACATGATAAGAACAGATAAATGTATGCACTGATATCTCAAATCATATTTTCTTTTGTAAAGTAGAACAATGGCAGCTCACTTTTTATCAACTTCCCAAGAGCTAAATACAACACCAGAGTCACTATATTCAAATGCATCGACATCAGACGACTCATTTGCATGTTCGAGCGAAGAAGAAGGCGGACTTAGGTACAAGAACAATTTAGAGTATGTTTCATAAAGAGATCAAATTACCATGCATGTGTCTGTTTCCGATCAATATTTAATAATTTTTGTTTAAATGGAGACACAAACAAATGTTCTATTTTCTTTCTGAATATGTCTTCTGACAGTCTGTTAATGTCCTCGAAATAAATACACTAAGCAGTTGTAGCCCACGTGGGTCAGGTTAGAACAATTAGATTTAACTCTAATCGCAGTGAACTCTATGAACGAAATATTACCTATCAAGTGTAAAACTTACATTTAATTCAAACTTTAATTATCTGCAATGTTTGTTCTTGAAACTTCAGAGGCTTGTCCTTGTTTTACAAATTGCATAATAATTATATCATAATTTGGTGCTTCTGTATGCTTTTTGATTTAATTAAACAAACGGACATTACATAACGTTTAAAAGAGAAGTATATATTATTTATATAGACAAATGTGATGGACATGATAAAATTCCCGTTGTTAGCGCAATTTGAGTAAATTAAAACAATATAATGTTTTGCCATTCATTTGCCTCTGTTTACCTTTAAACCCATACCGACAATAAACAACACATTTGATTTTAGAAAATTTACGTTTAAAGTACTCAATATCAGAGTAAAAACAATCTCGTTGATAATAATCTTTTAAACCTGTCCATTCTATTGGCTATGTTGTTTCCTCTTGTTTTATTTATAGAGAGTTTCGGATATTTTGACCGTTCATCATTGACACAAACCATGTATACAAAACACTCTGTAACCAGTTTTTATATTTTAACGACACTTTATTATAATTTGATATTCTCTTTTCTTATCGACAGCGACTCTGACGAATTTGAATGCTATCAATGTTACTCAGGGTAATCATTATATTTTTTATTTATTTAAGAAATAAGTAATTCAAATAACAACAGATTTTAAATCATTCTAACATAACACAAACTTATTTCACATTTATATACTCTATTGTCTGAGCTTACACCATGTCCCAGGCAAATATTTTTCGATTCCAATAGTGCATATTGCCAATGTAGCCCTCGTATATTTTTTTCTAAGCTTGCAGAAATTGTGGCACATATCTTTATCAAAATACATAGACAATGTTTGCAAGTATATCGGTAGAATTAACTAAGATCTGCAATACCATAAATACCGGCTTATAATTACCCGGACCATGGTTTCTGCTTATTATTCAAATTTTCGCAAAGAATAACGAATACCATTAGCGATGATCCACTGCTACCGTAAACAAATTTCATGTAATCACTTAAAAACTTTATTTATCATTTTTTGTACTTTATTTCAAATATTGATATAATATATTTTACAGAGATGGTTTAAATATGTTATACACGATAAAAACAGATAAAATGTCTGAAAAGCTATCTCAAATTTTCTTTTCTATTGTAAAGTAGAACAATGGCAACTTGCGTCTTGCGCATCCATTTATCAACTTCCCAAGAGCTAGATATATCATCGGAGTCACTATCTTCAAAATCATCGACATCTGACGACTCATTTGCATACTCGAGCGAAGAAGAAGGAGGTCTTAGGTACAAGAACAATTTAGAGTATGTTTCATAAAGAGATCAAATGACCATATATGTGTCTGTTTCCGATAAATATGTTAATAATTTGTGTTTAAAGGGAGACACAGACAAAACATTATTTCTTCTTTCTGAATTTGTATCTGATAGTCTATTTATTAATGTCCTCGAAATGAATACATTAAGCAGTTGTAGGTGTAAATAATTTCCACCCACGTGGGTCAGGTTAGAACAGTTAGATTTAACGCTAAATATCACACTCAGTGAACTATGGAAACGAAATATTATCCATTAAGAATAAACCACAAACTATCTGCCATGTTTGTTCTTGAAACGTCAGAGGCTTGTTCTTGTTCTTGTCTTGCAATTTGCTTTATCATAATTTGGTGATTCTGTTTGCTATATAATTTAATCTAACAAACGGACATAACATTACGTTTAAAACAGATTTTTATATCATTTATATAGACATTTATGCTGGATATTTAAATAAAAATAATATAATATCTTGCCATTCATTTACCTGTGTATACCTTTAAATCCATACCGATAATGAATGACAAGTTTAATTGTAAAAAATTTACGTTTTAAAAAGCTCGATTTCAGGGTAAGAACAATGTAGTTCATAATAAGCTTTTAAACCGGTCCAATGTATAGGTTTTGTTGTCTCCTGTTTTTCGGATATTTTGACCGTTCATCATATACGCAAACAATGTATACAATACACTCTGTAACTAGTTTTTTTTATATTTAAACGACTCCTTATTATAATTTGATAGATTTTTTTTCATATCGACAGCGACTCTGACATTTGTGAATGTGATCAATGTTTATCAGGGTAATCATTTTATTTTTATTTATTAAAGAAATAAGTCATTCAGATAACAACAGATTTTAAATCATTCAAACATAATACTCATACTTTACTTTTACATGATCTATTGTCTGAGCTGTTTGAGATTTTCTTACTTCCGTTCCCAATAGGACTCAAATGGAGATTTTTAACGAACTTTATTTGCATAATTATCTTAGATAAAATCATTTATACAACGCTTAAATGAAAGCTCTTAGACTTATATTCGAAAACATTCTGTCACAGGGCTTATAGAATATCATCGTGTGGAAAAAGGAAAGTGTGTATGTTTATTTCATCATTAAAGAATGAGATTACAGACATGCAAGAAAGGTAAGTATAATCGTCGTTATATTTTCAATAATATCACCATAAACATTAACTTAATAATTTTTTAGTAATCTGCTTTTATAATATATAAACGTATTCTTTCTTTATGTGAACGTTGGTATTGACAGACATAAATTAGTCAATACTAAATTAACATAACATTATATATTTTTTCTGGAGAAAACCAATTACATGTATATGATTATGCTAGAGTATAGTTAAACTATATATGGATATTATATAAATGCATTTTTCCTCAAAATTTTAATCGCTTAATCTTTAAAATAGATTCATTTTTAGCTTAGGATATAACATAATGTTTTCTATTGGTCGTTTTCTACGTGTTTGTATACAATGATTTGTTTTTTATTTTAGCAAAAAACATCTCCAGGCAGATTTGATTAAGAAAGATAAAGAAATAAAGGATAAAAATGCGATGATTGACAAATTAGAAAACCAATTAAAAATGTAAGTTTTGAACAGGCAAAATCAAACCGAGCTTTCAACAAGTAGATCTGCAATAAAAAAGAAAACATTTTAATATAAATCGGTCAAGAACACAAAATTTATTTCAACAATTTGAAAAAAATATCAATAACAGAAATATCAGGACTAACAAGTTCTAGTGTTACTAAATTAGATGATACTCACTAAGTAAAACACATATATTACAGGGAAACCATGAGATTTGCACAACATCAGAAATAAATAAATAAATAAATGCGTTTTCTTCTATTAGTTTAAACAAAATTTTACCCTTTAATGTAAACCATGATGTTATATAGAAATAATTCTTTCAATTTAGTATACAAGAACTTGAAGAACAACTCAATGAAAAAGATCAAAATATAACTGAGACAAATACAGCGATTCATTCTTTGGAAACTCAATGCAAAATATAAGTTTCAGTAAGCATCTGACCGTCGGCCCTATTCAGTTAATCTTTTGATAAGTACCTCGAACATGATAGTATGAAAACTAGACATGTAAAATTCAGTATCATAACATCGGTGTTTTTGAGTTAGTTTGCGTTTATAACACATGTATCAAGTCCATTTACATAAACTGATAGCTATACAAGTAAAATTACGTTATTTATATAACAACTACCGGTATTAAGAAAGTACGGACTGTATCACCTGTTTAAACACATTATGTTATAATTTGTTGGCAATCGATATTCTTTAATTGATTCCTATTGTCATTTATAGTTTTCAATTATAACTTTAATCAAATCGACGATATTGTTAGATGTCAAATTATTTTCTAATTTTAGAAGACCAGAACTTGAAGAAAAACTGAAAGAGAAAGATAGAGATATAATAGAGAAGAATAAAGTGATTGCCGCTTTGGAAAACCAATGCAAATTGTAAGTTTACATAGCAAAAAATAACAAAGTCGAATAATATTATTTACTCAAAATACAATTAAAAAATGAAATGCACTGATTATTGTATTTAAAACTTATATAAGTATCTAGTGGAATAACATCCAGTTATTTAAACTATTTAAGCACTTTTTACAAAGATGCTACATGTTCAAAATGGGAGGAAAAGGATGGAGGTAAATAACAGTCTAAAAACACCATGTTATAAACATGAATTGTTTAAAGAATCCTACAATATAATACGAAATTGATAACTGGAAGAAAATATTAGAACATTTTAATGCAAATATCAATAGCATAAATATTTGACAGTCTTAATATACCAGCGTATTGTGTATAACATATTATATTCAAGAGCCTGGTGGTTGTTATCATTAATACTGGGTCATAATAATAGTGCTTTCAAGAATGGCCCAAATGATAACATTTGCATGCTCGGTTTGATTAGGACAGCGGTAATTGTTTGCGTTCCAAAATAATGGCTTAAGCAGACTTAAATATAAAAATAGCGAAATATATCATCCAGAAAGCTCATGGCTAGCTATGATTTCCAAATATATGTATGTAGTTATGTTGTTATTGCATTAATGTACTCAACAATTCTACATGTTTCAGGGAGAGTGACAAACTTGAGCAAACATGTAAAACAAATAATGAAAGGTACGATCTTGGCATAGTATTAAGTATTAGAAATGATACAACTTTAAAACAATAATAGGCTACCAAATTCATTTATTTAATTGTTAGGAAAATATGAACTTATAACTCCAAAAAAAGTGAAAGTGTTACTTCATTGAGAGCGACGGGTTGAATTGTCTTATGTTTGAAACCATGTTCAATACGATGTGATTACCAATCCAATTTTGACATATAATACATGCTTAGGAGGGGATATTTTGAAGTTTGTCAAGAAACAGATATATGTTTTACTTTTTGATTTAGAAAATGATGTTATTCGGAAATAATTATTTTTATCTCAGGATACAAGAACTTGAAGAAATACTGAATGAGAAAGAAAAAGATATAAAGAAGAAAAGCAATGCAATTGAAGATTTGGAAAAGCAATGCAAAATGTAAGTTGAAGCAGCCCAAACGGTTAAATGGTACACTTTTCTCATTGTGAATTGTAAAGTGTTTGGAATGTAGTAATTATTTGGTGACACATTATCCGATCATTAAATTTATTTAAATATAAATCTGGTATACTTACCTATTGATAAAAATTGGTATGCTTAAGCAGATTTAAATATAAAAATCGTGTAATGCATAATTCAGAAAGCACGTGTTTAGCTTTGATTTCCAAATAAATGTATGCTGTAATGGTTTTATTGCAATGATGTGCTCAACAACTCTACATGTTTCAGGGAGAGTCAGAAACTTGACGAAATTTATAAAGCAAATAATGAAAGGTAGGTGTTGTAATAGTATAATTAAATATTATACAACATTTAAAAATTGATAAGCTTCCAGATAGCATCATTTTTATCATCAAAGAGTAACTTTTTGTTGATGATAAAAATGATGCTATCTGGAAATAATATTTCTATTTTAGGATACAAAAACTTGAAGAAAAACTGTGTAAGAAAGATAGAGAAATAACAGCGAAGAATCAGGCGGTTGCAACTTTGGAAAGTCAATGCAAAAAGTAAGTTTCATGCAGCGAAAGACATTAGAATAGTATGTCTTAACTTACATGTATTTTGAATTGTATTGTATTAAATAAAGAAAATGAATAGTATTATGTGGTAAATGGCAAACCTTTGTCAAACTTCGGGTAAGAACCACGAAAAAAGTAATATTATTGCACAAAATGGATAGGTTCTTTTGGTCTAATCTACGCTTACAAACTAGACATGTTAAAAAAAGTACTTAGTATGTAAACGATGACTTTATTGATCTAGTTTATATTCAAAATAATGCGTACACTTAAATTATGTAAATTCATTTGCACTGCATTATTTATATGCTTATATTAAGTTTTTACCTTTTAATGTTTTAAATGACTTTTGGCTCTTTAATGACTCTTGTTACTGGGTCGGATGGGGGCTGCGTTCATTGAACGCCGCCTTTCCTTGTTGATTTTGTTTATCATATTTTAATGTTGAATTCTGCTTGGGCTTGTGCTGGGGGGCGTGGACGGTGGTTTGCACTTGATGTACCGTCCATGGACAGGCTCAATGAAACTGAGCCTGTAAAATTAAAAAAATTTCTTTATTGGGCTTTCTTTAGGAGTTCTTATTAACACTGTCTTAGAACCCAAAAGTACGAACTTTAAACCTATTGAAGGTGTTATGTCGAGTAGCTTATAACTGGTTGACAACTGACATTCTTAAATTGATTCTGATTGCCAAACATATTGTCAATCATAATTTACTGAAGTTGATTATATTTTTCCATTTGATGTCAATTAAGTACATTCATCAAATGCCTTCGCTTCTCATTATACAAATATTCTGAAGTCACGCGGTAAAACTACTTTCAATCCGTATTAACTCCGGGATGATGATAAATATACGACATCCGTTCAAAATATCGTTACTTAGTATTAATACCATTCACAGATGACGGGTTGGGGAGTAAGATTTTGATGGTTGCCCAGCAACATTGATTCTGTTGCTTTCAGCGGCTAGAGCAGAATCTAATCATTATGTTTCAAAATTATGCCACTAACAAATGGTTTTAAAGTATAGATTTTGGGTAGGAAAATGTAGAGAAATAACGGATAAGAATAAAACGAGTAGCACTTTTGAAAACCATTAAAATGTAAAGTGCCCAAGCACAAAAGGTGAATTTAAGCTTGATTGCTTTTGCATATAACAGTTTTATTAAATATCTGGAAACACTAGGTCAGCGCACTTGAACAGTTTTGTTTTCTAAACATAGCTGCCGAAAGCATAAGCATTTCAAAGAAAGCAGGGATGCTTATGACATGTTAATATCAAATTATAGATATGCATCTTCTTTTACCTAAGTCGGAGTTTGGTGTAACAAAGGTG